ATAGATGGGGTATTTAATTTTAAAATATTTAATTCTGCAAGATATTGAATGGCAGCATGTGGTTCACAAAAATCAAACTTAATGATGTAGAACCCAAATGATTATATTAGTATCTTTAGCTGAAATTTAGCCAAGATTTTATCCAAAGTAAAATTCAATAATTTTAAGATAGCAAGGAACTATCCTACTATTAATATTCTCTATTATTATAGAACCTGTAGAGATTTGAATTAAAAATAAAGTTATTTATTAAATTGATTTTTGTTTAGCTTCACTTTCAGGGTCAAATATTTAATTATTAGATTTCTCTTTTTCAATATCAACTCCTGCTGATTTCTTTTCCTCTTTTTTATTTTTTTTCTATTTGATTTAAATTAACAGTCTTGAAGATTTTCGATATATTTTATACGCTTTATTAATTAGGAAGAGAGCTTATTTATTTTTTAGTTTGCATTATGTCACAAGTATTAATTGTATTACTCTCTAGTTATATATTCAATTAATTTTTTTTACAGTAATATCTTTCCTTGCGGTTTTTGTTCTGAACTAGTAAATCTTCACTATTAATTTTTTGGATTTTTTTCTTATTTTTGGTTCTATATCGTTTGATGAAAAGGTAGATTGGCATGTAAATATTTTGTTTCATCTGTTATTAAATCTTTTCTAGACTTGATTCTGATTTTCACTCAGTGTGCATTTGAAACCAATCAATTCGATTTCATATTTTCTGTTCTTTATAAACTAAATGCCCCAATCCTAAGAGAGGGAAAAATTCTCTAGTAAATCAATGAAGTGCTTTTTGGCTTTTTCCTTCTTAACTTGTAAACTTATTTCTACTTTAATTGATATTTCCAATCATTAATCTTTCCTGAAAAACGAGTAAAATTTTGACCCATTTTTAAGTTAATGCTTCTTCATTATTTATGTAAATTGTCCCTTCTATTATGACCATTGAATTCAACAATGAAATTCTTCACATTTTTGTTATATAATTTAGTTATTTTATCAAACTATTTAAATATCTTTGTGTAAAATTATATGTCAGCTATGATAGTTTAAGCGGAGCTTGCATTACAAGATGTTTATATATATGTATTGAGATCTTTTAGTTTTTTCTTTCCTCTCCTTTTGTTTGATTCTTATATTCTTTCTTCTTACTTGTACAAATTAAGGCTTCATTAGTTTCATAATTTCTATAGTATAAAAAGTTAACCTTTTACGTTTTCAATCATAAGAAGTCCTTAGTAGGTTTCTTTACATTTTTTTATTTTGCTTATAATTATCTAGGATTCTCTAGATAGACTTTTCTGTTTGTTACATAGTTCTATTGTGGAGAGTTGTCAATAATGTCAGCTTATGATAAGACGTTTTTCTCATCATACAGGAGGTTATAAAATACAATTTTAATTAACTTCTTCTATCATTTATAAGTCAAAATATAGAGAGTAAGGTTTAAAAAAGAAGTCCCTCCCAGAGACTGGGTCCAGCCGAGATGCCCAGAGGAGGTTGTTGAATTGAAGTAAAATCTATGCCCTAATCTAATTACGAAACCCTAATCCTTTTGGTTTTAGTATAAATTTTGTTTTTTAAATCAATTTTTGACTGATCAGAATGTGTTCTCATAATCGTACAGTTCCAAAGTAATTAACGTTCAATTATTCTTTTAATTATCCTCTTTGTTGTTTTAGTTGCACTACCAAAAACTAACCTTATCCAGTTGTCTATGTCTAAACAAATAAATTTATATTTTCAAAACAACGGCTTGCTTATGAAGATTTTAAATTACCAGAGTTTAAGGTAGGAAATACTATAGAAATTTAGTCTCTGTGTATAATTTTTAAAAAATACTTCATACAGCCGGATTCGTTGAGAAAAGAAACTCATAGAAGGATTTGATGGGAGTTTGCCATCTATTCTATTTATATTTATAAATAATTTCCTATCGAAAATGGGATTCATCACAAGGGTAATAAATTTAACTTAAATATTTTTCTCTAACTGAATTTTTACTTGGTTGTTTTCCAATAGCATACACTCTTTTGCAACACTACCTAAAGTTAGGAAGAGATTACCTTGTAGTATTTTCACATAATGGTTGTTTGCACTTTAGATAATACCAGAGATAATTTTTTTAAATATCCTCTAAATCCCATTCAGTTAATTATACCCTGATATGTTAACAATTATTTTTTTACATTAAGGCACTTATAAATTAACGTTTAACTAGAAAAAGAAGTAGGGAGAATTCAATCCAATAGAATATGCTTTAAATTTATTTGATAAAAATTGAAAATCGATTTGGATTTTGAATGATAACTGTCAGATATTAAATAAAGTGAGAAAAATATTTGGCATGATGGTATTTTAGAGTTATGCATACTGATTGTATCGCCTACCACTTAACTAGTCTACAGTAATGTTTTAGTTAATAGTTCTTAGCCTTACAAATAAAGATTGAGACATTATGATATGTCCCAGCATTGATTATTCTATTTGGAAGTAATCTAAAATTAAAGACACAAATAAGCTTCTATAGTCCGTGCATGAAATAAAACATCAAACTGATATTATGGAAGCAAATCTCTGCATTTAAAGCTAGTCAGATGTGACTTTTTTATGTTCATCAGTCAAGAAATAAAGTAATTATAGGGCTTTTCGGAGTAAGAATGGCAAATATAATACAAAAGTATTCTTACTCCAGTCTTTTTGATTCAAGTTTGTAGCTGTGAGTCTCTTAAATTAAAATATTATTTATTGTTGTTCTTAATTTGGACAACCTTTCTGAGGATATTGTGAATAAATTTAAAAGCAATTAGTTGATTGAAAGGATTATTAAAAATTTTAGTTTCAGTTGACATTTTAACTTTTATTATGGTTTTAAATTGAAAATTTGTATATCATTACAGAAGCCTGATCCCGACAAACTTGTTTAAATAAGATCCTCTAAGCATCCTTCATTATTTATCTAAAATCAATACCTCATTTCATCTAAATCTTATTCACACCTTGTCCAGAACTAACATTTCTAAAATTGCAATGAGCAACATGCTTTGCAACTTGTGACATTCCTTTAAATAAATTAAGAGTTATTCAGGTTTTTAGTGACATTTTTTTTGGGATAGTTCAAGATTAGAAATAGATGGGGTATTTAATTTAAAAATATTTAACTCTGCAAGATATTGAATGGTAGTATGTGGTTCACAAAAATCAAACTTAATGATGTAGAACCCAAATGATTATATTAGTATCTTTAGCTGAAATTTAGCCAAGATTTTATCCAAAGTAAAATTCAATAATTTTAAGATAGCAAGGAACTATCCTACTATTAATATTCTCTATTATTATAGAACCTGTAGAGATTTGAATTAAAAATAAAGTTATTTATTAAATTGATTTTTGTTTAGCTTCACTTTCAGGGTCAAATATTTAATTATTAGATTTCTCTTTTTCAATATCAACTCCTGCTGATTTCTTTTCCTCTTTTTTATTTTTTTTCTATTTGATTTAAATTAACAGTCTTGAAGATTTTCGATATATTTTATACGCTTTATTAATTAGGAAGAGAGCTTATTTATTTTTTAGTTTGCATTATGTCACAAGTATTAATTGTATTACTCTCTAGTTATATATTCAATTAATTTTTTTTACAGTAATATCTTTCCTTGCGGTTTTTGTTCTGAACTAGTAAATCTTCACTATTAATTTTTTGGATTTTTTTCTTATTTTTGGTTCTATATCGTTTGATGAAAAGGTAGATTGGCATGTAAATATTTTGTTTCATCTGTTATTAAATCTTTTCTAGACTTGATTCTGATTTTCACTCAGTGTGCATTTGAAACCAATCAATTCGATTTCATATTTTCTGTTCTTTATAAACTAAATGCCCCAATCCTAAGAGAGGGAAAAATTCTCTAGTAAATCAATGAAGTGCTTTTTGGCTTTTTCCTTCTTAACTTGTAAACTTATTTCTACTTTAATTGATATTTCCAATCATTAATCTTTCCTGAAAAACGAGTAAAATTTTGACCCATTTTTAAGTTAATGCTTCTTCATTATTTATGTAAATTGTCCCTTCTATTATGACCATTGAATTCAACAATGAAATTCTTCACATTTTTGTTATATAATTTAGTTATTTTATCAAACTATTTAAATATCTTTGTGTAAAATTATATGTCAGCTATGATAGTTTAAGCGGAGCTTGCATTACAAGATGTTTATATATATGTATTGAGATCTTTTAGTTTTTTCTTTCCTCTCCTTTTGTTTGATTCTTATATTCTTTCTTCTTACTTGTACAAATTAAGGCTTCATTAGTTTCATAATTTCTATAGTATAAAAAGTTAACCTTTTACGTTTTCAATCATAAGAAGTCCTTAGTAGGTTTCTTTACATTTTTTTATTTTGCTTATAATTATCTAGGATTCTCTAGATAGACTTTTCTGTTTGTTACATAGTTCTATTGTGGAGAGTTGTCAATAATGTCAGCTTATGATAAGACGTTTTTCTCATCATACAGGAGGTTATAAAATACAATTTTAATTAACTTCTTCTATCATTTATAAGTCAAAATATAGAGAGTAAGGTTTAAAAAAGAAGTCCCTCCCAGAGACTGGGTCCAGCCGAGATGCCCAGAGGAGGATGTTGAATTGAAGTAAAATCTATGCCCTAATCTAATTACGAAACCCCTGATCTTTTTAGTTTTAGTATAAATTTTGTTTTTTAAATCAATTTTTGACTGATCAGAATGTGTTTTCATAATCGTACAGTTCCAAATTAATTAACGTTCAATTATTCTTTTAATTATCCTCTCTATTGTTGATTTAGTTGCACTACCAAAAACTAACCTTATCCAGTTATCTATGTCTAAACAAATAAATTTATATTTTCAAAACAACGGCTTGCTTTTAAGCTTGTTTTTGAAGATTTTAAATTACCAGAGTTTAAGGTAGGAGATACTATAGAAATTTAGTCTCTGTGTTTAATTTTTAAAAAATACTTCATACAGCCGGATTCGTTGAGAAAAGAAACTCATAGAAGGATTTGATGGGAGTTTGCCATCTATTCTATTTATATTTATAAATAATTTCCTATCGAAAATGGGATTCATCACAAGGGTAATAAATTTAACTTAAATATTTTTCTCTAACTGAATTTTTACTTGGTTGTTTTCCAATAGCATACACTCTTTTGCAACACTACCTAAAGTTAGGAAGAGATTACCTTGTAGTATTTTCACATAATGGTTGTTTGCACTTTAGATAATACCAGAGATAATTTTTTTAAATATCCTCTAAATCCCATTCAGTTAATTATACCCTGATATGTTAACAATTATTTTTTTACATTAAGGCACTTATAAATTAACGTTTAACTAGAAAAAGAAGTAGGGAGAATTCAATCCAATAGAATATGCTTTAAATTTATTTGATAAAAATTGAAAATCGATTTGGATTTTTGAATGATAACTGTCAGATATTAAATAAAGTGAGAAAAATATTTGGCATGATGGTATTTTAGAGTTATGCATACTGATTGTATCGCCTACCACTTAACTAGTCTACAGTAATGTTTTAGTTAATAGTTCTTAGCCTTAATGAAAGAAGTACTCAAGTTTATAACTGAAATTGAATTAAAAAAACTTTTTATTTCTTTAGATTTAATTTTGAGGTTGTAATCCTTTAATTAAATTATTTCTTAAAATAGCTCTTGGCTGTCGTTATTGTTTAATTATAACGCTTTTTGTTTGAAAAGTGAATAAATTTGGATAAAATGCTTTGATTTTATTCTAGAGGATTAATATTTTCCAACAATGAGAAACACACCTATAAGAATTTAATAAGAAAATTTTCCCTTTTTTAAGCAAGCATTTTGTTTGAAAATTCTATTAACTTCAAAATAGCGTGACTACACAACATGAGTTTTGCTTAAAATATGTCTAAAAAAGGGTATGTGCTGAAAATAAAAAATGATATTTTAATACTTTCAGTTTAAGTTATTTTAAAGCAAAATATAATACAATAATTCAATATTGGCTTCGAAACTACCCTTACGACAGCTAATTTGCTTATAGAATCTTTCGGTTATGATTTATCCTATGAATTCATATCCTTCCTGGGATGTCTACTCAACTCAATCGCGTTTCCGAATACCGTAGTAAGATAATCTCGTCTTAGTGTATTTTGAAGTAACAAATGAATAACTCTAGGATTGAAGAACATAGTTAGATCAGGAAAAGTGCTTTAATAGGAAGAAATGATATAGGAGAATGAACAATAGATAGGTCAAAAGGAGTCAATTGAATATACCACCAAAATGCATAAACATCTTGTAGATACTAAGGCTAGAAGCTAAATAAAATCAAAAGGTTAATAACAAATAATTCCAAGATCGAAATATAATAGATTATTGGCTAAGTTAAATTTATGCATTGCAGTACTATCAGTTTGATCATAAACTTATCAGCCTAGAACTGCCCTAAAACAAAAATTAAAGAAGTGAGATTTATGTTGAAGACTGAAAAAAGAGGATTAACAATATTCAACATTTGTAACAATATAATAATAATGAAAAATTCTAGAAAAAATCTAAATCTTATCCTCTAACTAAAATTAATAACAGAACACTTTGGAAAAATTTCAAATTTTCTATCCAATTGTTTCAATAACTAACCTAACTAGACTTCAAAGATAAAAGAATTACCTCTAGAAAATTTATCATTATGTTAGATATTTGGGCTAATTCCATTTATGTTTCTAAGAAGTGTGACAAGTTTAAATTAGCAATAAAAATTATCATATGATGATTTAAATAAAAGATTATGTTAGAGTAAATATTTTGAAAATAGTAGTAGTTAGCACAAATTCTCAAAGTAATAGTATAGTATAACTTCTCTATCTCTATGTTACGGCCAGGATTGAAGCTTAATAATTCTTAACAATTGAATTTATGCTTATAACTAAATAATAGTTAAAGTTGAAATTATATATTGACAATTTCATGAAAATACATGATTCCTTAAAAATCCTTTTTAATTTTAATAGTTGCAATTATTCAATTTTTATCTTCCTACTTAGTAATCTAACTTTTTCCATCGCTTCAAAGGCAATATCATTTAGTAAATAAAAAAACTCTTTCTACTATCAAGTATGTTTTAAAGTTCCTTCTTTAATGGTCAATCAATGTTGACGATTTATTCAACCTTTTCTTTGCTTATGAAATTCCTCTCTAGTTCAATTTTCCTAGTCTAGCTCGATGAAACGAACATACAAAGGGAACATTTTTTTTCACTTCAAATCCAATTCTCTCTTCCTCTTAGGATTCTGGTCGTTTGGCTTTATCTAATATAAAATGTTCCTAAACATGAGTGATTTTTTGTGGAGAGCTGGATTAAGAAGTTATTTACTTATGAAATTTATTAATAATTTAACCATTACCCTAGTTTCTCCATCCTTATTATAGAAATCTACTGCAATCAAATATATTTTATGTATACAACTTAAAATTGTAATTGTAATGCAACTAAGTTTCAGATTTTCAATTAATACTTTTTACTGAGATATTGCTTTAGATTAATGAATAAAAAATTCAATTAATGTTCTTTTTCTCAAATCCTCACGGATAACTTAGTTTACATTTAAATTAGATTTAAGTTGTAAATAATTTAAATAACCAGATAAAATGATCTTTCAAAAAAGATCTTTAAAATAGGCTCTAAATATATTCAAATATTCAATTGTATATACTCTTCGAACTAAGATATCAGAAGAGAATAAGTATAATCTAATGTAGAATTTTATCAGTTCAAATTAATTAGAAAGAAAACCTAGGAAACCTTATAAAGTAAAAATTTATAAATAACTTAAATGGTTACATGATTCTTATATTTTCCTAAATAAAAGCAATTCATGAAAGCTCATTGAAAATATATAAATTAATTAAATTTAAATCTAAAACTAATAGAGCAAAACTTAAGCAATAATGGACATTAAAGTCTAAATTCCACATGCATAATATTTAATCATCAAAAAAGTCATATAAAATAATATGAAACTATAAATATTGAAATTTCACTTCAAGTTTTTATTTGCATAATTAGTTATCTGAATTCACTATCATTTAATTTACAATACTAATTGCTTTCCATAAGTATTGCTAGCTTATTTAAACTGTTTCAATTATTTTACTTCAATAAAAAAATTTTTATATTGCTGTACCTATAACAACAAATAAAGTAAAAGCCTTTATTACAATAGGCATTCGCATAATTTCAATCTACAAGAATTGCTTAGCTGGCAGCTAATTGCATTGTCATATTTTTTAAAATTCCATTACTTCTTTAGATTTTTTTGAATTATTCCTCTTAAGAATTGATTTTACAATTAACAAGTAAACTTTTAAAATGGTTGTCAAAAAAAATTAATAAATATAATCTTTTAATAGTTATTATGAGTATTAGTTATTGAAATTCTACTTCCTTTTATGATATTAATGATTAATAAATGGCCTTTAATCTCAATATCCCTAAATCATAACCCAAAGTTATTTTCATATTAAGAATATCTTTTAATTTATTTTTCCTCTTTTATAAAGAAGTTAGAGTTATTAAAGTAACTCGACCAATGTAATGACTTTTCAAGTCTAATTTAAAAATTGAGAGTAATATAGAATGCAAAGTTAATTTGTCCCTTGTCTGGTGTGTAATGAAATAATCGCTATTTCCAAATGTTCTAAGAAATTTATTCCTAAATTTATATCAATATCTATCCTTGATCTCAGTAGCGACGAAACCGAAAATCATAATTAACCAAATTACTACAGTACGAAAGATTCAAATTTTGTAAAGGATATATAGGTAGTTTGTAGTAAAATAATTGAAAGGAGGACATTATGCAATTAAGGATCAAAAGTGTGGATGTAAAATAAAGTTTCATTATAGAGAAAATCGAGGTAAAGATAACTGAGAGATGTAATAGGTGTAAGAAAGGGAGGATTTTTTGTAGCATAGTAGAGTTTTGCCATATAGATAATGTAGTAAGAATTGATGGTCTTTGATATGATAATTACTTATTTCTTCAAATCTTCCCCTATTCAAATTTCTCCTTATGAGCTATAATCTCATCCATCTAAGAGAATAAATTAAAAAAGATAATAACTTTAAAGTTCAAACGATTAAACTTGGATGGACTTAATTACTTCATCTTCATTCATATCAGAGCACTTAAATTTATAAAAGTTAAAAACCAATTAACTAGTCTTCACATCATAATACATGTGGAATAATAGGAAGTGGTTTTTGAAAAAAGTGAATTGGGACATTTATTAAACAAATCAGATTGAATGTGCCTAGCCAATTATTGATTTTTATTAGTACAAGAAATAAGCAATAAAAATGTGACTAGATATAAATCATTTTCTTTTTACCTTATCTTTGGATTATTTAAACATCTTGCTAGTCTGATTTGGTTATTCAGTGCTTAATTAGATGTTAATGCACAACTCTTTATTAATTGATTTAATTTTAGGAATAATTACATAATAAGTAAAATTTTAAATCATTGATCAAGTTCTTCTTCTACACTATCAAACAAAAATTAGAATATCTAATACAATCAAGTAGAATCCTAATTAGGTGTAACTTGAACAGCATCACAGAGAGAAAAATTCAGTTCCATCAGTTGTGAATTGACCAGTTATAATTTTGAGATTTTTAGTATTGAAATTAGCTCATTTGGAATCTGGGCATTCATTCAAAATTGATTTGATAGATAGAGTTAAGACATTGAATGTAATGGGTATGCAGATTTTATATAAATTGTATAAACACTCAAAAAGCCTTGTATGTTTACTAATCATCAGCTTCTCCATTATAAAGCTAATGAAATATTTTAACATGAAATAGAAACGTGATAGAGAAATTGAAAATACATTGAGATTTAAAATTATATACGTAGATATGAAATTAATGCAAAATTTAGTAATTTTTATGGATTTATAGATTCTTTAGATAAAAATGTACGAATTATTTAATAATAGGCATTATCAACTTCCACACAAATCTAAAGCAATTGATAAATGACTTATTTTCCAGCTAATTATATATTTGATATTTTTTGACAATATGAGCATCCTCAATTCACATTCTTTACTTTCTGCTATTTTTATACTTTGAGGTATGAGTCTCATATATATTTGAATATCCATTAGGTTTCCCTTTGAAAGTATAATTTAATTCTTTTCACAAATATCGCTATATTTTGATATTACACCTGAATATTGTATTAACTATCCTACAATTAGTATAGGTTTAACTGGAGAAGGTTAAAATTATACGTTTTTAATTATTATTGTGATTATGGAAATTGTTTATCGAGTAAATTTCATTATTTAAAAAAGAGTCGCTTTCAATTTAACTTATTTTTCCTCCTTTGGTTTGTTGATTTAAAATGGATGCTAATAGTACTTAATTCTAGCTGACATGGTATTATTTCTTTGATACTTTTATTGATACTCATACATGTAGGCTCTATTTCTGTCTCAGTTGGTCCCTTT